GGAGGAATCATAATTTTCATATTGCTTTTATTTTGTTAAAGTGATATATTTTTGTAAACTCTGGAACTTAAAAAAAAAAAAACTTCTGGACGTTCTATACATAATGTTTACTTCTATATTTCTTTTTTGTTAAAGTCTGTTGATATCAAACCAAGAATTGTGCCATCAAGCTGGACTGTAGGTGGCAGTAGCGGTCAGTAAGTATAAGCAGAAACACAAAGTAGTGTCTGCTTTTACTGGGATGCAGATGGCAGTCAGAAGTAGAGGTGGAATTGCATGATGTAATATGTTTTGTGAAAAGTTTTCATGAAATAATATAAATTCACCAGGAAAACTAACATGTTTATGATCAGTTTAGAAAAAAACTGACATACTAATTAAACAACATGGGAAACAAACTGAACAAACATGAAAAGAATGCTTCACCATGCAGTGTTTGTACTTATAGCTAATATCTATTTCAGAATAAATATAATTTTATCTGAACACCTAGTAACGTGTTGCCTTGTCTGTTTGCTTCGTCATCATTCTCTGTTCAGAGAATCAAATCTCAACCCTCCCATCATTAAATATGTTAAGGTTTTATGCCCACTGCATTGTTTTTGTTTTTTTTTTTGTTTTTTTTTTGCTTGTACCTCATTTTGTTCCGGAGATTAGTCTAAAGCTGTTCCTCTTTATAAATATTAATTTGCCTCATCTTCCTTTGCCAAAGCCTGAGGCGTCCGGCGCAGGTGTTATGTGAACAACACGGCGGATGGCGAGCGAACCGCCGCATGTGCAGGAAGTCGTGGTAATGATTGCAGTCCCCAGTGCACTCTGGGTAATAATTATCCCTCGTTTATCATAATAGCAGGTAAACGCTCTTGCTCGGATGCAACGCTGCACCTAGTGAGACACCGGCAATAGATCTGCACTTATTTATTTTTTTTTTTTTGTCCACCTAAACCAGCCAACTTGGGTTTATACACATAAAAGAAATGTATTGGAAATCAATTAAAAGTAAATAAGACCTCCTTAACATAGTTTGAAACTCTCCTTTTGCTGGTTGCATGAATGAGGGGGTAAAAAAAAAAAATCAAGTGGCATATTTATTACATAATTTGTGTGGACGGGTAAGATTTTTGCTAATAGAGACTTCTTGAGTTCTTTTGAGTCAGCTTATAAAATAACACAAACACCAAACCCCGAGGCAAAGTCTTTACCATCTCAGTAAAGAAGCTCAGAGATAAAACAAACAGTTCAAATGACCTTTGAAAAGATCCCCATCTCTCAGTTCGCCCACGAAGAAGCAAAGCAAGAAAGAAACAAAGCAGGGAGAAGTCTATTTCAGCAGGGGATAAAAGTGGAATCCCAAACTGTGGTAATTGTGCTCCCTATTCAGCCGTCCCTTCCCCACCCCAACGCTCTTTTTTTTTTTTTAAGCAGCGCTTTCTGCTCCATTTACGCCAGCAAGTTTGTGTATGTCGAGTAGGAGCAGCTGCAGAAATGGGAAGGTGCTTTTAAACCTACGTTTTCTAGTCATGAATTTATAGAACGGTTCTTCTGTTTCTCAGATGTTGCTTAGATACAGCAAATAAGTTGTACTGCAGTGTAAAAAATATATATGAACCATTCAGTACAGCTTAAATCCTGGGAGAAATTTTACAAGTGTGTCTCACACATTTACAGTTGTTGGCCAACACCTCACGGTCATTCATTCATGTTGCAGAATCAAGCAAACATACAAAAATACACAGGAAAAACATGAATCTAAAAAGTGTGGCATGCACCTTTTACACCTATTTCTATAACTCCACTCAGCAAAAGGCCTCCACCAATCAATCCATCATCTGAAAAATGGAAAGAATGTCTTGATGCTCAATTCCAGTTTTTGCCTGGTCATCCATACTACTAATTATGGGAACACTTAAAAAAAAACAGCAAATTTACCTGCTGTGAGAAGGCAGCCAAATACACACCTCAGATTTTTAAAATGTAAAACATGTTGAAAACCACATTCTTATGGTGCGTTCACAAAAAAGCATTACATGCATCAAAAACCCGCCTGATGCTCCAAGTTCGACGCGTGTGCACTTTGAATGCAGACGCTTGACGTTTTGCTCCACACCTAACATTTTGCGCGTCCGATTTACATTCAAAGTCTACGTGGACTTTGAACGTCCACGTAGACGCGCGTCAAGCTGATGTGTGTCAGACACTTGAAACGCGCCTCCACATAGACTTTGAATGTAAACCAGACGTACCTGACGCTCAAAACGCTTTTGGTGTGAACGCACTATTATACTTTCTGTGCACTTCACAATATTACGTCTCAGTCGAGAATAGATTAGAATAGAATAGTCCTTTCTTAATCCCACAATGGGGAATTAACTTTTTACAGCAGCACAGCAACAAAATATATCACTTTTAATATGAAAATATCTAAAAGACAAACACCTAAGCAATCTGAAATATTTTAATAACATACCCATAGATAAAATCAAACAAAAATTACGTAGAATCTTGAAAATCTGGGTGATTTTTAAATACAGAATAAACAGAATATCTTATTATTCATGTTAATTACACAGTTCTGCTTAACTCGCATGCAGTGACATGATGATAAAAACTGCGATGGCAGTCTAAGATGTTCATGACAATGAAAATGCAGCTGTTCTATAGCGGTGAAATAAAGACATTTGTCCTGTACTTCTAAGTCCTAATTATTAACTTTGCGCTGTTTGTTGGGGGTCCAAGTCTCTTCCTGGAATATCTCTAGGTTAGGAGCAGTTGCTTGGCAACAGCACTAATGGAAGTTACCAGCGACTGGTAAACATCTCTCCCCAAATGTCAAAATGTTCCTGTTAATGAGAGGCAGCATGTGAGTAAGAGCTTTTTAGGACTTTTCTTTCACCTGGGGTTTTTCACATCCTTCCGGTCGCCACTGCGTCGCCGTTATTGCCTCCCCGTTAACAAGCATGAAAAGCGGCATGTTTCGATGCTTTTTTTTTTTGTTGCTTTTTTTTTACTCCTTCGGTTGTCTAAAAAAAAAAAAAACTGAATACACGTTCACGCGCCAAATCAGTCACTTAAAGCTGAATAACTTTACAAGTGGCTCTTCTGGCTGGCTGTGTGAAGGCATTAGCTAAATGCTTATTTGTGTTAAAAGCGGTGCTACAACAGGGCATTTCTTGGCTCACAAATTTGATATGTAAAATGGCTTCACATGATGCAACCAATTAAATTTGCTGGTGTGTGTGTGAGTGGAATGCGAGGCAGGGATGAAATCCAGACACCTCTCACTTGGGCCCTTATTAGCTATGCAAGGCTTTGAACGGGTCTTTAACCTCGGCGTTTAATCATATAATTAACAATGATGGAAAAAAACCGGCTAACACCGCCATCCTACTCTAAACATTGTCCTCCAAAACATTGTCTAGACCTCATGTTTTCACAGACAAACACATTTTTCGTGACCTTTAAGACACGGAGAGGGTTTGCTACATTGGGCATTAGCTTCTCATTTAAACGTGTGCCGATCCGAATTAATGCATTGTTGGTATGCAGCTCTTGTACGTTAGCAGGTTTGGCACGCCGTGGCGATGTGTAGATCTGAGGAGCGGCAGGACTCGGCGTTGCCTGTTGTGATAAGTATTTAGATTTTATTCACTGTCACATTCGTCCCTCCTCACTCTCTCCTCTGCTGGCTGATTACCTGCTGCTGGCATTTAAGGAGCATTTGGAGGTTGCAGCCTCTCCCGCTCTGACGGGCCACACATCAAGCTGGATGAGAAGCTGTTTACAACAGCCTCATTTTAATTGCTCATCAAATTATTGGCTAAATGACGAGACATGGGGAAATTGCAGTGGACATATGGATTCAGACAGTGGCCATCAAACGCTGCCCCAACACTCGGTTTAGTGATTTTAACCATTCAACTACAATCATTAATCAGTTTTTCAGGTTATTTTTAAGGTTGTATAATGTATTAAAATGTCAATCAACAGATTCCAGTTTTTCCCCTTTCTTTTCTTTTCTTTTTTTTTTTTTACCAGTCTTTTATGCCACAGGACTTTGATGTACAGTTTCATGTAAACATGGAACCAGCTGGTCAGAATTGATAAAAAGATGATTCATTGAAAGCCTTACAGGTTTGGTGGCAGCATCATGCTGTTTTGTTTTTAAAGTTAATAGAAAATGGGTGATTTTATTGTAAATTTTGCCAACATTGTATTCCCTGATTGCTGTCTGTGGGACTTCTGTTTTATAAAACGCTTTGAGTGAATGAATGAATTCAAAGATTTAAGGAAAAGAGAAAAAAAACAAGCTGTATAGGACATAAAGTATACCAATGCTTCCCCTCCCCCACCTGTTGCTGCGCTCTACCTTCCTGTAAACTGCTTGGAAGAAACTTTTCCTTCACCAAGTTGTATTGAAATATTTTTGGTTGTAAGAAAACATGGACCGTCCTGGTGGGGACTTCTCCCTCGCTCCCTTACAGTGTGAAACCTCGGAGCCGTTTGCCTTCAAGCAGTCAGCTTGTTCAACCAAAAGCATCGTGTTGTGTTTACCCTTCAGAGGAGGCGGGCTGATTACGGCGTACTTAGAATTTATTGACGAATCATCTCTGAAAGCCTCAGCGTCCGTCATTTGCGCTAACGTTTTCTATGATAATGATGCCTCCCCTCTGTTCTCCAGACTTTATATTCAGCAATCAACTGAACTTATTTAGGCTGTCTCCTCGGGAGCGGGAGGGAATTCAGGTTTTAATTTGCTGGGACGGGGGGATGATTTGAGACGACCTTGGATGGGGGAGAATACAATGTCCCTATAAGGAACCCGAAACTGTGAGCTGGTGGTTGTTACAAACGCCAGAACACAAAGCAACAGATCTGTCATCCATCAGCAGTGTAAGCCATAAAGAAACTGTCAGGCTGTACATTCAATCTGTACTCCTGCAGCTGCTGCACTATATGTAATGCAAATTGATTTTTTTTTTTTTAATCTTTTTTCTTTTAAGGTGAACGCACAACTCTCATCAGTTTCCGTTCGAGAAGTGAGCGGAGATCATCTGTGACAAAGCCTTACAGAAAGACGATCTCTTTGGGGGGGGAAAAAAGAAAATCTCTGGAATCAACTCCCCGGTAAGTCTAAAAATGAGCATCAGCGCACCGTTTCCAAAAATAAAAAATTCCCTTTTTTTTTTTTTTTTTTTTGCTTTTTAGACTTTAGCCTCGACACCAATTATCATTCAAGTACGCCACTATGCCGGGAGATTGCTTTCAATCAGACTTTTGTGTAAAACTTTGATTGAAAGAAAAATGGAACGGCAGACATGTAATCTCCTTGGTAGGGGTCTCTTCCCATAATGCATCATGAATCATACCTAGTGAGGCAGCAGATCATCCAAATCTGAATCATCCAGTTTGAATCACAGCAGTCTATAGAAAATACATCACGATCAAAAAGGGAATTATTTTTTTGGGTGGATGACTTTCTAGATGGTTTTGTAATGCATCATGTTGACTCCTGATGTCTATAATCGGGTGGGGGATAAAAGCCAGTTTGGATAGGACAGGATGTACAGAGACACTCTTCTGTGAAATGGAAGAAAAATCTGTATGGTCGCTTTCTGAAGGAATTTTCGATTAACTGAGATTAAGTCAGTACTGTTTATTATAATATGTATATTTGACAAAAAAAGAAAAAAGGCAGAAGTTCTCAGATGGAAACCGGCTGTTTTCTTAAATGATCCCACACATGGAGGCGACCCCGTCGTGAACCGAACATTGATAATGAAAAGGCTTGACATCAGACAAAACTCATAAACTTTATGTAATAATTATAAATTCAAACTAATTGCCAAATACAGAGGTGGAGGTGATGTGATAAGGGTTTATTTTGAATGTCAGGACCTCACATGTCAAAAATAAAATGTGTGAAGCTACGTAGAGTAATCATGTTAAGTACTACAATACGGAACTGTACGTACATCTAAATATGTATTTAAACAGAAGTAAATATTACTGAAGTTAAAATGACTACTCTATTCCACAGTCTTCAATTTGGTTGTCTCTACTGCTTGTATAAATTTTCTAACAGTTTTTCTTTCCACTTAACTTTCCATTCAGTTGTTTTGATAGCGACCTTACGGTTCTCAGGTGTTTTACAACTGTGAAGTTCACCAGTCTTCTTCATGATTATTTAGGCCACAAAATGCTCCAACATTTCCATCTTAAAAATAATTATTTTATTGTTATTATGTAATATCTGGTTTTCCGAGAAAATTATTTTTGGGTTTCCATTAGCTATAATTAGATATAAAATTGAAATTCATGTGTGCAGTTACTCAATATTGAATTACCGAATAACATTATAATTATCGAGATTCATCTGCAAAGTGCCTTTTTTAAATATTAGCAGAAAAAATATGCAGATCTGCTCAGTTTAGATTTTCCATTCACTAAAAAATGTTTTTTTTAGTGAAAAAACTTTTTTTTTTTTTTTTTTTGCTTTACCACAAAAACCGTAAACGTAAAAGAAATCAACACTTTCAGCAGCTCGTCTGTTCCAGCCGGTGGCCGAATTCACTGCAGTTATTCTGCAGAATAACTGCAGAATAACTGCAGTTATTCTGCATATACTAGTCAACATAGTATATGTTGACTAGTATATGCCATAGTATATGTTGACTATGTTAAAGTAGTCAACATATACTACTTTAAAAGCCGGAACCCCAAGCAGAATAACTGCAGTGAATTCGGCCACCGGCTGGAACAGACGAGTGGCTTTGTGTTCCTAACGAACCAAACGAGACGCGTCCTTCTCACCGACAACCGCTTCTCCGTTTCAAACCCGGTTTGCGGCGCCGTCGAACAACAAGCAGAATATCAAATCTGACCTCTGAGGTTCGGATTCGTTGACACCTGCTTTTTCACTCTGGGAATCTTGGAGGTAATTGCTTTCGAGAGGGTCCCTGATCCATTAACGCCACGTGCTGCTTCCCAAAGCTGGAAACATGATATGTATTTGACACATGTCCTCTTTTCATCTTCTTTTATGTCAGAGCTGCTTTTGTGATGTTGTTTATTTGGGGTAGATGTTACTTTTCAGTTGCAACCCTCAGGGAAGGTTGACTGATTTAAAAGTCCACATTATGATTTTTCTCCCCAGGGTTCACATGCTTCATCTACACTTATGAGCAAATCCCTTTTTTTTTTTTTTTTTTTTAAATTTGTGTTTTACTTGGATAAGCTGGCAAAATAACATTTTAAAGATATACATTTGTTTGCTTATATTGCGGCGTACCCAATTTCTTTGTAATTATATCAAAGAAGCACAGAGACAATATAAACACTGGGAGTCCAATTTAATATTCACTGAAAAATGAGTTCCACTAAAGGGGAAAATATGCAACACAGTCTCTTTTGCTTCAGGAGATTTATGTAGAGCATAACTACTTCAAAACTTTTGTTTCCATTTTCTTTTAACCTTTTTGCACATCTTGTCATTTGCAGCTACAAATTCCCGTGTTTTGTGGTGGACAGTTTTATTACATTTTTATGAATTTATTAATCTGATACTCGTGTCATGTCATGTTTTCATTTGAATGTCACCAAATGGAGCTGTCTGAGCTGCAAACCCAATGCTCGCTGCTCCAGAGGTGATGTTTTCTGCAGCAGAACCAGACCATCTGTCAGGAGTTTATGATTCTTTGTACTTGGCATGAAAACGATGTGTTGACTCTGTCTCACAGAGTTTTTTACTCTTAGCTTTTACTCTGACCTGGTTGGTTTTGTAAGCTCTCGTATCTTTGCCGCATGGTGGTAATAAATCTGACAGGAATTTTTTTTCTCTCCCCATTTCATTGGGATTTTATGTGATGGACCAACATAAAATCAAAATAACTTATAATTAAAAAAAAAAAAAAAAAAAAAATTATCCCCAAAATATGTTGCTCCCACCCCCCTATTTAAAAAAAGAACATCTGCGGGGTGGGTTTTCC